AATTTTTTTTTTAATTTTTAAAAAAAATTAAAAAATTAAATATATATATATATATATATATATATATATATATATATATATATATATATATATATATATATATAAATTTAACAAACAAGTTAATTATTTAAAAAAAAAAGGAAAAATAATAATAAATAAATCAGCGAAAATGATAAATGCAGGACCAGAAATGCTTAATGCAGTTTTGGCCGAAAATTGCATATAAGGGTAGTATACTACTTTCGCATCTCCAGGAGTATGTCAAAGGATGATTTGGGCTTGGGTTTATCCCTACTTTATTTGGTGGCTAGGGGGTATGTAAATTAACCCCTTTTATAAAAGAATAAAGGGATTATTAGCAAGACCCCATCATCTAGGAAATGTAGTTAAGAACCACCCCCCCCCCCCTCCAAAAATAATTTGAGAAAACCCCCTTGGTCAGTATTCTACCAAATATTACTTTTATAATTCCAAATTTACCCTTAATTGTCAATATATTATTTTGAAACCCTAATTCAGCATCAACATTAACAAACAAGCCAAATAACACATTCCCATGGCATGGCGCAAGAAGCGACGGGCTTGGGCGATTTCTCGACCTCGACAAGGCACATGCGGCAGTTTCCGGCGATAGAGAGGCGGTCGTGGTAGCAGAACCTCGGGATATCAACGCCGGCGATCTCGCACGCTAAGCACCGTCATTCCTTTGGGGATTTTGACTGGGTACCCGTCGACGAACACCTCGATTGCGTCGTCCGGGTTGGGGAAGTGGACCCGGGCGCTGGCTACAGGTGTCCGCTTCGGGAGATCTGGTTCGGGCTGGGATACCGCGGCGGCAGCTCCGGAGTTGTGGAGCTCCGGCGTGGAGACGATAGAGCGGCGGGGGAGGTTAAGGTTATGTAAAGAAGAGAAATTGTCTGTACTCACTACTCCGTACTACTTAAAATATGGAAGTGGGGTGGTGAAGGTGTGGTGTGGCGACGACGTGGTGACGATGAAGAGCAGATCTAGGGTTTTTAGGTGGATTGTGGCGGAAGACGGCGCAGAAAAAGAAATTCGCGCAGGCATGGCCCTTAATCGACTACGTGTGTTTAATCGATTATGTTCAATAGTCGATTAAGGCTTAATCGACTATGTTCAGTAGTCGATTAAGGTTAACCGACTCCAGTTGTTAATTTTTTTTTTTGATTTTTTGTTTATTGATTCCAATGTATAAATCAATTACAATGTTTGTATATTTTTGTTAAATATAGTTTTTTGTTTATTTAACGACTCATTTTGTGCGATTTAACGCCTCGTTTTTGCGCGATTTAACGCTTCATTTTTGCACTTATCTCGCCTCATTTTGTTTCGATTTAACGACTCATTTTGTGCGATTTAACGCCTCGTTTTTGCGCGGTTTAACGCTTCATTTTTGCACTTAGCTCGCCTCATTTTGTTTCGATTCAACGACTTATTTTGTGTGATTTAATGCCTCGTTTTTTGCGCGATTTAATAACGCTTCATTTTTGCACTTAGCTCGCCTCATTTTGTTTTGATTTAACGACTCATTTTGTGCGATTTAACGCCTCATTTTTGCGCGATTTAACGCTTCATTTTTGCACTTAGCTCGCCTCATTTTGTTTCGATTTAACGACTCATTTTGTGCGATTTAACGCCTCGTTTTTGCGCGATTTAACGCTTCATTTTTGCACTTAGCTCGTCTCATTTTTTCTCGATTTAACGACTCATTTTGTGCAATTTAACGCCTCGTTTTTGCGCAATTTGACGCTTCATTTTTGCACTTAGCTCGCCTCATTTTTTCTCGATTTAACGACTCATTTTGTGTGATTTAACGCCTCGTTTTTGCGCGATTTAACGCTTTATTTTGGCACTTAGCTCGCCTCATTTTTTCTCGATTAAACGACTCATTTGCTCGATTTGACGACTCATTTTTGCGCGATTTAACGCTTCATTTTTGCTTTTAGCTCGCCTCATTTTTTCTCGATTTAACGACTCCTTTTTGCACTGATCCATTAGTTAGTATTGTATTAATATATTTTATCCTGGTGATAAATGATTTCAAGTTTCATGCCATCCACCCCACATGTGACTTATCCAGGTGATAAGATAGTTCAATGAAAAATAATCTATATTTTGACCTTACTCGAGCAATAGTTCAGCACTTGTTGAGTAACTTGCATTCGTCGAAATGTTTTTCAGCATGCAAAGAGTTATTGCCATGGAGGTGTAGGCACATCATTTAATAGAGAGTTTACCTCGCAAGGATATTAGGAGAGGTTCGAGCTTTCATAGATTCGAGTTCGAGGTGGCGAGGCGAGCTTCATAGGACCAATGCGAGATAGGAGAGGACTACAGGTCTCGAAAAATCCCGCTTCGAGGTAAGAAAACGAGCTCAGCAACAAACAAGATCGTTAAGTACTCGCTTTTATGTACGAGAATAACTCTGGCCTATAAAAGCTTTAAGAACTATTTCTCGGAATTGGTGATTGAGAGACTTGCCTCGACGGGCATTGGGTCGGCGAGATTCGGTTAGAGAGCACCGAGATGGCAACGTTCGAGCCGGCGAAATCTGGCTCGGAGTTGTGGGAGAATTGGCATAGAAGTGCGAGCAATGTGAACGCGAGCTCCCGGGATATAGTAAGTTTTCGGCAGTCCTGCCGGGGGGATAACTCCGAGCTTTAAGTAGAGAATGCGAGCTAGGAGAGAGCCCCATTTTAAGATAGAAATATGAGTTCCGATAAACCTGGTGGTGTTAACACTTGATCGCCTCGACTCGTAGCGATCTCTTGCCGAGGTGGAAACCTTACATCGCCATAAAGATATGGCTTGTATCTTCTCTTCTCACATAATCTCCTCTCGTAATAAATGTGAGCGACAAAAAGTCCAATTACCATAAATGAATTTGGGGTGTGAGTTGTGAGTGCGAGTTTCAAGGTTTCACCAAGCGTCGGGTTCATTCGAGAACTCTGAACTTCAAGAAAACCCAGCCCGCTAAATCATGGAAATAAGCTTTGTGCTTTGAGGGATCTTCCGGGGTATATGAGAGAAAATACGAGCCGTTGAATTAATAAGCCATGGATATCTATTAACCAATATCGAGCTCAGGGGTAAGGTCGAAGCCTGTGGCGCCCGAGTACCCATGCTGGTCGGCGACCTTAGACGGTCAGATTTAGAGAGATGAGCTTTAGGCGTGCCGCGAGTAATCGAGAAAAGAAAACCAGGTTGTCCAAATACATCCCTCAGACGGATTCCGACTCAATATGCGGCAACGGATGTGGTGCTGAGTAGAGAACCGAATTTGCATAAGTGATGGGTCCGATATGTTCAGCTCGGCAAGCATCGGGTCGGCGAGACTTGGGTCAGAGGGCACCGAGATGGCAATGTTCAAGCCAGCGAAATCTAGCTCGGAGTCTCCAACCGATCAATATAGACTTCAAGAATTAGTTTTAGAGAGAATAATGCGAGCTCGGGGAGCTCTCAACCGAAGAATAAATTTCCGGTTTGTAGAAAACCATATTCTCGCAACTTATGAATCTGAGTAATGCTGGGCTTTACAAAACCCGAGTTGTTCACAAGACATACTCCAGCTTCTCGAAACTTGAGCTTCAAAATGTGGTATTTGTTAACTCGTGAAGTTCAACAGATATCATGCATGTTGGTTTCATAAACTTACTGAGCGTCGAGCTCATTCAGGATATCTGAGCTATGCAAGAGGAATGCGAGCTGTAATACGGGCCCCTAGAGAATCGAACGAAGAGATAACCCCGTGCTCGAGGGATCGAGCGTCTTGTTTTTAGTACGGAATGACCATATCGTAGCTTGAGCTCGCGTAAATCCATGCTCGAGTATGAGCTCAATGCGAGCTAGAAAAGAACTACAAGCTTTAGAAAATCCAACTTTGAGAGGAGGAAATGAGCTTTTAAGCAGCAAGAGCGATCACCAAGTACTCGCTTTCGTGTTCGAAATATAGCTCTGGCTTATAAGAGTTATAAGAAATACATTCGATCTTCCCGGAATTTGAAACTGAAGAAACTAATTCAAGCTCCGAGAAGGGTGAACTTCGATGAATTTACACCTCGGAGAAATTTTTAACAGCCATAGGCCCATAAGCTCTTCAAGAAAGTTGGACTAACAGATCGATAGCAAGCTCTTTTTAGGAAATTTAATAAGGTCGAGCTCCTTTGTAACATCTTGTAGAATTATTGAAAAGAAAATTTTCATCTTCAGGTGTTTAGAAGGAATATATTCATGCTTTGTAAATGCGTGTTTCCGACAATCCAATTGTAAGTAATATATTGGTGCTCCAAGCAATATGCGAACCCCGATAATCCCTAGCTCAGTTAGAGCTGCTTAAAATAGATGTGCTCTTCTAGAAACTTGAGGAAAATAATTTGCAAGCTCCAAGACCAACAGGCTAGTGCATGGTTTGTACAAAGCTCTTGGAGAGGTTTGTCCCATCATTGAGCTCGCGACTTTGAAATATTCGTTGCGTGATAAAGAAACTTTTAGATTCTTCTTATTTTCTATCGATCCCATTGTAGATCGAGCTCCAAGAAGGTCGAGTTACACTACAAGAAAAATATTAATTAGTGACAATAAAATATGTGACAAGGTGAATTTCATCACTAAACAACAATATTAAGTGACATAGTATATAGTTTATCACTAATGATAATTTATCTTTAGTGACAACATGATTCTTGTCACTAATGATACTTGTTTTAAGTGACAATATTCAAGTTGTCATTAATGGGACCTTTTCTTTAGTGATACTATTTAACTTGTCACCAATAACAACTTTTCTTTTATGACAACTTATTTGTTGTCACCAATAGCACCTTTTTTTAGTCATAAAATTTTAATTGTCATTAATGATACTTAATTATTTTTATTTTCTAAAAAAAGTCAGTTGAAATTTCTTTTCAAATCAAAATATACTAAAAACGAAAATAAGAAAGAGAAGAAGGTATGTATTCTTATTCTTAATATTAATGATTAAATTGTTATTAAATTTCTATGAATTACGCAATATCCATTCTCTGATCATTAGACTAAACCTAAACTCTCTCCCAACCCAGAAAATCCTCTACCCCTCTCCCTGATTTATTCGCTTCTTCACAATTATGTTCTCAATTTCTGAGATCTCTCTTCGTTATTTGATTCCTCAACTCTGTAATTTCGCAATTAGGTTTCGATTGTATTCAAACCAAGCTCTGGTGAATCGACTCAATTAGGTTCGATTTTGTTCAAACCAAGCTCCGGCGAATCGCCTCAATTAGATTTCGATTCTGTTCAAACCAAGCTCCGGCGAATCGCCTTAATTAGGTTTCGATTCTGTTCAAACCAAGCTCCGGCGAATCGTCTGCCGCCGTGAACAACTCAAAATCGCCTTCAATCCGCTCTATTACCAGATCAGAACTGGTTTGCTCGAGATATAGTTCTAAGCGGCGTGTCTCGTTGACAAAGTAGAATTTTCCGTTCGTCTTTTTCACTCGAAGATTCATACTTTAGTTTTCTCCTTAAGGTGGAAGATGTCATCGCATAATTGGCTACACCGCTGATGAATCTGGTGGGGCTGAAGACGGTTGAAATGGCTGCCGAGGTCAGATTCAGCACTATAATCATTTTGTCGATCGTTCACATTCTCAGGTAATCAGGAAAAATACACGTCGAAATTGATAGACAAATTAGATTTTATATTGTGTTTGTGTATTACTGTATTTGCATATAAGAGCTTGTGCAATTTTGGTGGAAAAGAAAGAACTTTAATTGATGAAATGGCTATATTTTAAGAGCTTGTGCAATTTTGATTAATGAAAACAGGTGAAATAGTTACAATGTACCTTATAGTTTGGTGTATAATGTTTTTATCCATGTTTTTGGATCAATTGCAAAAATAATAGTTTAGTGCTTAGTTTCATAGATATTTTCCAAACAATTTTTTTTTGGGAAAAAGGCTGTTGTAGAATCACATAACGAGCATATATAATCTTTTGTCGGTAAGTTTTTGAGCACCATTGGCAGACTGCAAGCTGAGAAATGAAAGCAAGTTCAAGAATTATACGTATATATGCATATCTTGGGTAATTCTTTATTTGATATATTCACCACTCCAATACTCAATATGTCAATCTAGTTTTTACTGGTCTAATTATGCAGATATATTAACCACCGCAATTTCCATCAATTCTGAGCACAAGGGCTTGTTTTTGCTATTTTTTTTTCCGTTTGCATCCCACTTGAGCAAGGTAAGATCATTTTAGCTCGATTGGATTGCCTCGTATTATTATTTGAGGTTGTCTCATTTCCATTTGCTCTGTTTTTTTGTCCAGAATCTTTAAGAGGGGTGAACCACTCAAGCTTGTGTATGGTGGCGAATCTGAGAGAACCTTTGTTTATAATAAGTATGCCATTGAAATTGTTCTTTTGATGATTGTATGCTCTTACCTTGTCTCCCTAATATTTGTGTGTGATATTAAAAATTTAGTATGTAGAAGTTTGGTTAAGCAGTATGGTTTTTCCCAGGAAAATCCTGCCAGAGCTAATGGTCATATATTTAACCTGGACAATCCTAACAGTTAAGTTACGGTCAAACAGCTTGACAAAATGATGACTCAGGTAATTTTGAGTATTTGAAACTTTCTTTGTTAGTGTTAATTCTTTCATGTGCCTTTTATTTTTTTATTTTTTCGCAAAAAAAACTAATTTCTCAAGTTCCACTTATTATTGCATACTTGCAGGTTTACACGATGGTTAGTGGAGAGCCGCCTCCAAAGATTTCTATTGTGAAGGATAAATCGATAGTAGTAGACATGACAATAATCAACCGACAACATGGTAAAAAAAACATTATGGAAGCAAAACCTAGGAAAAAAAAATCATACTTGTTTTTAACATTTTTTCTTTAATTGCATATTTCGAAGGATAGGACCCAAAAGCATCACTTTGGGACTTGCTTGAATCAACTCTTACTATACTTACCAACACAAGACATATGCCGAAGGGGTAAGAAAATAATTTCTGTCTAATTCAATAGTCTAAGACCTTGCATTGCATGTCCTGTATCTTTGGGAAATCAGCCCACCCCGCTACTTATGGCTAAAGCAGTAGTATCCTTTGAATAGTGATGGTGTTAGTTAATTGCTTATTTGTACCTAGTTTGTCTACAAATGAGCATATTGTATTATTGTTTTCACATATTTGATTTAAGTCGATGGTATTTTATAAATTTGGTTATTGATCGATATACTTCTTTTTCATTTTGAAAAGTTGTCGGATGTTTTTGTTGTGTTCTGTTCTGAAATTTTACAGTACTAGATCTTTTGTAACATATAAACAAATATTTTTTAATTTCAAATTTGGATTATTATTCTCTTACAGAGTGATACATAAAGGCTGAGTAACGAGAGCACAGGGCTCTAATTCCAATTACAAGCCATGGAACAACAATTGTGTGACGGTTAGTACAGTACATAACACCCAAAAATTTGTCTTCTTTTGTTTATTTTTATTAATCTTCTTTAAACAATACATTAATTATATATTCGAGCGTAAACATATAATTTGCAAATAGCAGGTGAATTGATAAAAAGAAACACGGAAGAGAGAAATGTTATCGATTGTATTGTTGCTGCATTTTACGGAGTTCTTGTCTGATTATAGTTAGGTTTACTATGGGTAAAATTCATTTTCATCCCTGACTTTTCACACTAAAGTCAAATTAGTCCTTGTGTTTTTAAATGACTTCAATTTCATCCCTTAATTATTTTTTAAAAAATAAATCTTGTTTAAAAATATGATTTTACTTAAATACCCCTAAATCATATATTTTTATTTATCAAAAAAAAATGTCCACCAAATTTTGAGTCCTAAACTTTTTTGTTACACATAAATAATAAATTTTTCAATCACAATTAATTTAATCGAGTATAATCTACTAATTAAACAAAAAATATATTTGAAATTTCTTAAAATTTTAAATAAATTAGTTATTGGCAATATTTTTGGTTATATAATTTTGCTAATACTTTATATATTTATTTCACTCAATATTATATACTAAATTTAATTTTTCACAGTTAGATTCAACAGTTCGACATATTCGTTTAAACTAATTGTTGTTACCGAGAAATAATTAACTTAGTAATTCTCATCCTGCAATTAAATCTATATTATGTTTTAAAATCTAAAAAAACTATAACTAAGTTACTTTTACATAATCTTTAATATTGTTTCATATAACCCAATTACTTTTATTTAACTGGACATTTTTTTCTAGAAGTCAAGTTAGTTAAAAATAAACATCAGATGAATGAACAAATATAAAATACTAAGCAAACCTAATTAGATATACCATATATATCACAAGAGTACAATTAACTAAGTTATTTATATTTTGGATGATGTAAGATTTAATGAAAATTATGAGATTACTTTGTGTTTTAAAAAATAGAAAATGAAATGCATTGATTTTGTTAAGTTCAAATATTTTATTTTTAAAGGGAGTAAAATTTTATATTTAGTTGAATAATAAACATATGGTTTAAGGGTATTTTGGTCATATCATATTATTTTAACATGAATATATTGCCAAAAAATAACTGAGGGATGAAATTGAAATCAATTGAAAACACAGGGACTAATATGATTTTGGAGTAAAACGTCAGGGATGAAAATGAATTTTACCCGGTTTACTATAGTTAGGTTTACTACTGACCAGACTAGTTTACCATATATGTACTTTTTTTTTCTACAAATCATATTGTAAGGAAAAAATCTTTGGTAAATGTTATATATTTTTATTTGTTGTTGTATGTCTTGATTTGTACAGGAAATTTTGATTCAAATAGTGTCTATATTTATAATATTGGATTTCTTTTAATGTTTGGTGTTTAGGAAAAACATAAATGTGTACAAATATGCATCACGAATTGTAGTGAATGAGTGACAACATTCAAGTTGTCAATCTTGGTTCATTTAACTAGTGATAATATTCAAGTTGTCACTCAAAATTCATTTTATTAGTGACAACATTCAAGTTGTCACTCTAGGTTCATTTTATTAGTGACAACATTCAAGTTGTCACTCTTCTTGCTTAAGTGACAACATGAATGTTGTTACTTAAACTAAAATCTAAAGTGACAATATTTTGTAAGTTATCACCAATGAGCATTAGCGACACAGAATTAGTGACAACGTAGTGACAACATTATATTGACACTAAATATCATTTGTCACAATTTTATGATCTAATGTGACAACTTGTGCTGTCACTAAAATTCATTTTTTCTTGTAGTGTTATGGCAGTTTGATGGAATGTATACGAGGGTGGAATTCGGAGACGGTACAATTCCTTCGGAATTAGGGAATTTGAAGTTGCTCAATATTCTCTTTCTGCATATGAAATATGAATTGACTTTCATGGCCAATGCTGAATGAAGTAAGTAACTTGACAAACCTCGTAAATCTCGGTCTTTTATACATTAACACAAAAAATCCCATATGAATTCATGAGCCTCAAGTAAGTCAAGCTTCTCAAACTGTTCATGAACAGATTGCAAGGCTCGACACCGGACTTTATACGATTATTCCGAGCTGGAAACTCTCGGTCTTTGGATGAACAATTTCACCAGCACTATCCCGAGCTTAATTTGTAGCACCCATGTATTCTCTCAGACCTCTTATCAAACAGCTTGTTCGCACCATCATGCAATTGAATCTTTCACCCTGATCTAACTTTCCACAAATCAGCATTTTTCAATAATTGCAAAATTCAAATCATCTCATGGATAAGATCCCAAAATTCAAATCATCTCACGTCATAGCTCCAGATCTTTCATTGTTTGAGATAAACCTTCTGTTTTCTTTCAAATTCTAAATTGTCCTTCCACACTATCTTACTCCCACTTCTCTCATACCCATTTCTCCCTTTTTTTTTTATTAATATTTTAATTTCTTTCACTTTTTTTTTTTAAACTTGTTTTCCCCGTTTTTTTAACTTTTTTTTCTTCATCGGGTGTATTAATCGACTATCAACTAAGGCATAATCGATTAACGGACTGACTGCTAAAATCGTCTTTCAAATTCTAAATTGTCCTTCCACTATCTTACTCCCACTTCTCTCATCCCCATTTCTCCCTTTTTTCTTTATTAATATTTTAATTTCTTTCACTTTTTTTTTAAACTTGTTTTCCCCGTTTTTTTAACTTTTTTTTCTTCATCGGGTGTATTAATCGACTATCAACTAAGGCATAATCGATTAACGGACTGACTGCTAAAATCGTCTTTCAAATTCTAAATTGTCCTTCCACTATCTTACTCCCACTTCTCTCATCCCCATTTCTCCCTTTTTTTTTATTAATATTTTAATTTCTTTCATTTTTTTTTCTAAACTTGTTTTCCCCGTTTTTTTAACTTTTTTTTCTTCATCGGGTGTATTAATCGACTATCAACTAAGGCATAATCGATTAACGGACTGACTGCTAAAATCGTGGTTGAATAATGAAATTGACTACTAAAAGTAACAAAAACAACCATAGTGCCGTCAAAGAAACCCAACACGATTCAACAAAAGAAGCCAAAAAAAAATACGTAAAAGAGAATACAAAAAATAATGAACCCAACATGATTCAAACAATAATGAACCGGAAAAAATAACAAAAAAAAAGGAAAAAAGAAAATCAACTATTATTTTTTACAAACCAACAAATATTAAAAAATTGTATTGATTTATACAAATCAGATGATTGACAATGGCAGAACAAAAACACACCACCGCTATACCCCAATTCCACTACAGGTGACGAAATAGGGAACAATAATCAAAAATCCAAAAATGAATTAAAAAATGTAACAATTACCATTAATCGACTGCTGAACATAGTCGATTTTAACTTAATAGACTATTGAACATAGTTGATTTAACCTTAATCGACTACCGAACGTAGTCTATTACAGGTCCAATATGCTAGAATTTTCTCCGCCACTACCGTCCTCCGCGCAATCTATCCAAGAAACCCTAAATCTGATCTCCACCGTCACCACGCCGTTGCCACACCACACCATCACCATCTTCCACCTCCGCACGCAATGTCGTGAAAAGGAGAGAGAGAAGCAAATGAGATCGATTAGGTTTTGGAAGGGTGTATTGGTAATTTAAATGTGTGGTGAATGATATATCTAAGGCAAAAGAGTTTTCTCAAATTATTTGTTTGAAGGGGTTCTACCTCAAATGATTTTTCAAATGAGGGGGTCTTACTAATGTTTCCTATATTATATAGTTTTTTTTAAAGCATGATCATGTCTCTTGTATCATTTTCCTCTTAAATGCGACCTTATTGCATTTACTACCCTTGTGAAAATCGTAACTGCGCATTTTCTCCCTGTCATAAAAAAATTAGCAAATATACCCCGTATTAGTCAAAGGCGAAAACCCCCCTCGTCGCAAATCATGTGTCCCACTCGCGGGTTCTGCGACTTTTCTCAGTTTTGTTTTGTGAAATGACAAAATTGCCCCCAACATCTTTTCTTTCGTTTTTTCTTTTTTTTTGATAAGTTTTTTTTAATATAATTTTTTTTGCATTTTCCTTGATTTACATGTCTAGAGGGCTTTTTTGTAAGTACAAAAAAGGGAAGAAACTTTCCCTAACATTCATACTTTTATAAGGAGTATAGATTATGATATATACATGATGGAGATATAACTATGTTTAAATATCTTTTTATATATGTTTTGAGTATTTCAAAATAGTATTTTGAAATATATTATTTTAAAACCGATGTATTTTCAACTTATCGCCAATTAATCATCGCCGCGCGGATTAATCTTGAGTTAGTGCCTCACCGCCTCCGACCCGTTTTTCGGTTTTTACAACCTTGGTTAGGAGTAATTTTTGGATGGGTTGATGAATTTGTAAGAAACAAAAGTAGGATAACCCTCTTCTAATTAAATGCTTTTGTCATAGATATTTTTACAATTCCTAGGTATACATAATCTACGATTGAGATAACGAGATTAAATAATAAAGGGGAAAGTACAGTTTGCACCCCTGAACTATAGGGTTTGTCTCAAACACCCCCCAAAACTACCAAACGTAACCAAACGGTCCGTTTCCAATCCGTTTGTGGTGCGCTAACGTGGCAAGTTGACTTTCTCCAATTAATTTTTTTTACACTTCTACCCCTCATTTTTTTTATCTATCAATATGTATAAAGATATCTATATGTATGTACATAAAAGAGAATCTTGCACTATGATTTCCTCAATTGAGGTTGGGATATGCCCGAACGAGAATTGGAGCAAAACAAGGTTTACGAAATACCAAGAAACACACCCACAACAACTAAACAACGCGCCCCCAAGAAGTAATTGCACATTAAAATTGATGGCGTTAGTTTCTTCAAAGTTGACCATAAATCACAAGGGCCCATTTTGTTACGTTTTTTAGTTTAAGTGATGTTGCGACAAACCCTATTTGGTGCAAACTACACTTTCCCAATAATAAATCATAAGACAAGGAAGTTCAATAAGTTGTTGAGAGAATCTCCGTACCCGACCCAGTTGGCCATAATTCATCGACCAAAATTACTCAGGAATGAATGCATCATTTTCAAATTTTGCAGCGAATAAAGCAATGCAGCAAGCCGCGACTCTCAATCCAAGGCAAGAGTCTTCACGCCTATGTCATCAAAACTGGCTTAGACCAGCATCTGCCCCTATACCCTAACACACTCATAGACATGTACGGTAAATGCGGCCATCTGAAAGACGCCGTCCAACTGTTCGACGAAATACCGGATCGAGACTTAGCGTCTTCGGCATCAATTTTCACCGCACACAATCAAGCCAACTTCTCTAGTCAAACCCTCTTCTTGTTCTCCCATATGTTGTCTAGGGATGGTCTCCAACCGGACCATTTCATCTTCGCAAGTCTCGTTAAGGCTTGCGCTTGTTTGTCCGCTTTGAAACTTGGTCTACAGCTGCATGCCCAGTTTGAGAGAGTTATAAGATAGTGTTCAACCTGATGCCATCCTGACTGGATGGGATTTGAGTTTCTTGAAAGCACAACTAAATATTTTTTTCCAATTTCATATCTTAAGGTGTGGTTATTCTATATCAACAGAAATATTGAGGCACATGCAACAAAGTTTATGCGAGGCAACATAGACCAAGATCTTATATTATGTCATGCAAAATGGGCTAAATTGGTGAAATCAAATGCCTTCGAAGAGTATCAATACAATTACAACGAAATGATTGGACGATATGGATGATGCCCAGACTCATGCAATATCTGAATGATACACGGTTGATAAACAAGGACAAGTTCGTACGAGCTTATACCCGCAAGGTGTATCATTTTGGTAAGATGACAACCAACTAGTATTCCATGTTTAGTTATTTTAATAATAAAATATACAACATAAAAATAATGCTTACATTATAAATTGATTGTCGATGTACTCGGACATGATGGAGAGTGTTCATTCGTCGGCAAAGGGTTAGGTAAATGCTTCGACCGGAGGTGTTGATAACGTCCAAAGTAAGCTTCAGGACCAAGTCATATTAAAGTTAGTCAGATGAAGTGCGAATTTTCAATATCATCCAAAATAAGGAAGTATACTGCAGCTTGGTCGCGCTTTGAAGGTTTGGTTTGTTACATCACACATTTAGCATTGAAAAGGTTGGATGAAGTGATGAAGTCCCGGAGATGCAGGATCCGAGTAGTTGTACCCACTATATGAGGGATACTCATGGAATCCCTTGTACGTGCCAAAAATTCAAGAAAATGATACGTTCGTAATTTAAAACCTACATCCATTCTCGAGTACCATGGCAGTTGGAACCTTCGAAGCAACAAAATATGAGTGAAACCCGCGAGCCGGTTGTGGATAATCAAATTGATGAGTTGTATTATGACTTAAAGGGGATGAACTACATAACCAAGTGGAATGTCGTGACCTCACTGCATGGCATTTTTAATCCTTCTACGACACATTTGTTTGAGCCATCATATGCTAAGACCAAAGGACGACCAAAGAATAACTCGATAAAAGAGACCCCTTTGGATGACAGTACCATCTTGATGCGGCAACAGTAAGCTGTCTTCTAGTTCTAAGGGTCGTCAAACCTTCATTACAGCAACGCCTAAAGCAAAGATGGATAGAACCATTGATGGAATGCCTGAATCGAAGATAAAAGGTTGTGGAAGTCGTATTCCCACACTAAAAAAATCTCATGCCCCTTCAATACCTACATATAAAGCAATCGACTTCTATTGTTTTGTGCCCAAATTTATGGTTCGTCTTATTCATTCCTATGTTACTCTGATGGCGCATGGCAAGTGTGGTTACAAGTGTGTTGTTGAAGCCGTTTACGAGGATCAAGAAAGATGGCCTCAAATATGAGAGGGGAGTTGCTTATTAAGTTGTGGTGAATATGACTTACCTCCTCTGTTTGGTAATGACCAATTATAATGTAGGGCAAATTGGAACATAATTTTGTCTATTTTGGAAGCAAATTTCAGCAAATTGGGAAGAAAAATTTGTTAAATTGGGAACTTAAGTAACTCTGAAAGGAGGATTTTCAAGTGGAAAAAGTAAAATAACATATTCACACACAACCGATTCCACAAAAAATCGACCACCCACAACCGATTCTGCCATGATTTGCCCAGATCCGGGAACCCACGACCGAATCCACCCACGGCCACCGTGTCACCGTTTTAGACTAAAACAGGGGTCATCAAGCGATTTCCGAGTTTTTCGATTTTTGCCGGTCGAACCGGGTTTTCATTGAGTGACCCCAATATTGGAATTTTCCGATTTTTTTATGTTGAATGGGACCGGAATGGCTGGTGGTTCGGGGTCAAACAGCTTGTTCTGGTCTCGTTCTGAAAACCATGATATAAAGTTATAGACCATGATAAAATAACATTTTTCAGGCTAAAATCCAATAATTTTGAATGTTCCAACAATCAAATAAAATCTGACTAAATTATTAATTATAATTAATCTCCAAAATTAGTTAATTATTTACTGCCATTTTTTTCCTATAAAGATATACATCATAATGAGATTGAGATAACGAGATTAAATAATAAATAATAAATTATAGGGGAAAGTACAGCTTGCATCGATTAACTATGAGATTTGTCTCAAACACCACCTTGAACTACTAAACGTACCAATACGACCCCTATTATTTATGGTCAACGGTAGTCAAACTAACACCGTCAGTTTTGTTGTGCATTTACTCATTTACCCTTAAGAAAACTAACTCCATCAGCCAATCACCACCTCTCTCCGGGCTTTTTTTATTTTATTTTAAAAAGTCACTATTCTGTTCCTTTTCTTCTTCATTGTGAGAGAGGAAAACATGGCAATACCAACTAAGTGGGATAATTACAGTTTTGGTCCTCCATGTTTGCACAGTTTTCACTTTTGGTCCCCCATTTACCGCCGTCAACAAATTACACACTAACGTTGTCACATTCTAACACATTTAGTCCCTCCGTATGTTTGACCGTCAAGTAGTAACGGCCAACTGTTGAATTAGGGCCGAATTTGGGATTTTTCATTGAGAAAATTGCATTCATACCCCTGCATTCTTTTAAAATATTCTAAAAACCCCTAAAATATTTTTTAACCCTAATTTAACCACAATTTCATCATTTAATCAATTTGACAAACGACCCCCATTTTTACCACCATTACCGCTGACCGTTGACCGCCGTTGATTTTTTTATTTTTTTTATTTTTTTTTCGGCTTGACTTTTTTTAATACTCTTTTTAACGCCGTTCACCGACATTGTATTCTCGGTTAACAATGTTGACTTTTCTATTTTTCTCGATTTTTTTGATCTTTTTCCTGTGACTTTTTTTTTTGCCGATCAACACAATATTATTATTGTATAACAAAATAATAATATTATATTAATATCTAGTATCGTAATATGAAAGTTACAAACTTTTAACAAAGTTTGTATCTAAAATTCCGAGGCCTAAATACATTTTTTAAAAAATTCTAAAGTTCATAATTTCTTCCCCTCATTTTTTTTCGTGGGACCGCCAATGCATCCCAAAAAAATATGAAGAAGATGAAGTAGGCATGTGCGGAGTAATTTGGAAATGAGATAACCACTATAGTACAACGGTTTTTAGGGTTAACATCGGCCGTTAATTATTATCTTTTTTTATTTGTCTTAAAAAATACCGTCATTGAGTTGCGTTGACGTTTTCTATTTTTCTTTTATTTTGACTTCCTTTATGATATTATTTTTCTCGCTGATTATCATCTTTGACTTTCTTTTTTAAATTATATTATACCCACTACTCAACAATTTAAATAAAAATCTATAAAAAAAATGTCAACGTACATTCAACATCGGTCAACAACGGCAAAAATAGAATAATCGAAAAAAGAGTCAACCGAGTTAAAAAGAAAGTCAACGTCGGATTACCCGATTTTGAAAAATCGGGGTCATTGGTTGAAATTGGTTAGTTGATGAAATTGTGGTTAAGTTATGGTTGGATAAAATTTTAGGGGTTTTTAGAATATTTTGAAAGAATACAGGGGTCTTATTGCAATTTTCTCAAAGAAAAACCTCTAATTCAACCGTTGACGGTCAAACAGACGCTTTTCCAAATTCTCTGCCAGCAGGTAAATTAGCACAAATTTGAGAAACCCAACAAACTTCGTAACCTAGTTTATTTTACTTTGAATTTCGGAAAATTAACACAAAATTCAAGAAACCCATAAAACCTCACTCTATCAGCGGATTTGTGCGGGGATTTGGCGGCTGACTACGGGGTGTGATAGTGTATTTTGGGCGGTGTTGTTTGGGCAGTGAAAGATTGGGTGGCAGAATTCGCACAAGGGGCTTTACGGTGGCGTGAGGTTTGTGACAGTATATTTTCCGGCGGTGATGTCTTGGCTGTGGAGTGGTGGCGGTACTGACAGTTAAAGAGGAGTGGTGGTGACGGTGGTTTTGGTGAAGAAGGGACAGTGCAATTTCGATCATCCAGGTCAATTTGAAGAATTCAATTTTTTATTTAGGCACCATGTTTTCTACCAGTGCATTTCAGTCCACACAACTATATATATACCAATCTGCCCCTTTGCCGTAAATCATTCATTCAAAATTCCCCGGGAATGAATGCATCGTTTCAAGTTTCAAATTTTGGAGCGAATAAAGCAATGCAGCAAGCTTCGGCTCTCAATCCAAGGCAAGAGTCTTCATGCCTATGTCATCAAAACTGGCTTAGACGAGCATCTACCCCTCTATCCCAACGCACTCATAGACATGTATGGCAAAAACGGTCATCTGAAAGACGCCGTCAAACTGTTCGACGAAATGCCGGACCGAGATTTAGTCTCTTGGGCATCAATTTTCACCGCGCACAATCAAGCCAACTTCCCCCGGCAAACCCTCTTCTTGTTCTCCTGTATGTTGTCTAGGGATGGTCTCCAACCGGACCATTTCATCTTCGCGAGTCTCGTTAAGGCTTGCGCTTGTTTGTCCGCCTCGAAACTTGGTCAACAGCTGCATACCCAGTTTGTCCTATCGCGTTTTTCTGATGACGATGTTGTTAAGTCATCCCTAGTTGATTTTTACGCAAAATGTGGATTGCCCGATCAAGCTAGTAAAGTATTCTACTCAATTGTGTCGAAGAATGTGGTTTCTTGGACTAGCTTGGTATACGGGTACGCAAGGATTGGAAGGAAAAACGAAGCCCTCGAGCTTTTACACGACATGCCTTGTAAAAATGTTCACTCTTGGACAGCTTTGATATCAGGCTTTGTGCAAGGTGGGCATTGCACTGAGTCCTTTCGACTTTTTAATCAACTGAGAAGTGAAGGAATCGATATTGAGGAACCGTTTGTTCTTTCGAGTTTGATTGTCGGTTCGTCTAGTTTAGCCATGTTAGAACTCGGAAAGCAACTTCATAAGTTAGTCTTAGGTTTTGGATACGAGTCCAACTTATACGTCAGTAACGCATTGATTGATATGTATGCTAAATGCAGTGATGTATTATCCGCAGAGAAGATTTTCGATAGTTTGAGGGAAAGAGATGTTGTTTCTTGGACTTCTATTATAGTAGGGATGGCACAGCACGGGCGAGCAAACGAAGCACTGTCGTTGTACGATGACATGACTAAAGCTGGTTCGAGACCAAACGAAGTGACATTTACTGGGCTAATATATGCGTGCAGTCATGTCGGATTAGTCGACAAAGGCAGACAGATTTTCGAATCCATGGTTGGGGATTACGGGTTAAGCCCGTCTCTCCAACATTACACATGCTTAGTGGATCTCTACAGTCGAGCAGGGCATATCGAAGAGGCTGAGAATGTGCTAAACACGATGCCGTTCGAGCCCGACGAAGCTGCATGGGCTGCTTTATTGAGCGCATGTAGTAGTCAAGCTGGGAAAAACGAAACAGGGGTTCGAATTGCGAATCACTTGCTCCAGTTAGGAGTAGAGGACCCCTCGACGTGTGTATTGATGTCTAAAATTTACGCAAGTGCCACTATGTGGGAGAGTGTGTCTACTGTGAGAAGATTGATGACTGCAATGGAGTCGAAGAAGAAACCTGGATACAGCTGCGTTGACTTGGGAAAGGAGAACGAAGTTTTTTATGCGGGCGAGACGATGCTGCATCCTATGAGAAACGAGATTGTTGATTTATTAAAGGAGTTGGATTCGGAAATGAGGAAGAGAGGTTATAAACCGGACACGTCTTTGGTTTTGCACGATATGGGAGAGGAAGAGAAGGAAAGACGGTTGTTTTGGCATAGTGAGAGATTGGCTGTTGCTTATGGGCTGCTTAAGTCTGCTCGCGGCGCGCCTATACGTATAATCAAGAATCTGCGTGTATGCGGCGATTGTCACACTGTTCTGAAGTTGGTGTGCAGCATTGTCGGTAGAGAAATTGTTGTTAGAGATGCGAATAGATTCCATCGTTTTAAGGATGGTGCGTGCTCTTGTCGTGACTTCTGGTAATAATTACGAGAATGTGTCGTATATGATATGTTACCTTCGTTTAAGTATCCTGGCTGTTGGGCATTTTTCGGTGGCAACTGTTTTTATGTGATATTGGAATTTTCCTAAATATAATTTTTGCAAGAATTTCACCCAAGTTGAATCGAAAAGAGTGTTCACCATCGGTACCCTTATTATAAGTTTCATCTCCTGCGGTTGAATAGTAGTCTGGTTTTTTCAAATTATCTAGACATTTTTTCTTGTAACTTTTGACGTGCCAAAATATCCATGTATTGTAATCCTATTTGGGTGAGCAAATATTATAACCAGTTGAGAAAAGGAGGAAGAAGAGGATTATCAGTTTAGCCGTTCAGGCTTAATTAGATAGTGTGTGAGAAAGACAGTTGCATTGCTTGAATAATAATATATATATAACAATATTATTATTATTATACACTAGCTAGCTACTATTAATGCTGGAGATAATATAAATTATAATCAAGTATACATGTGGTTTATGAAAATTAGGTCATTTTTATTAAAGAATTAAATGTATTTATGCAGTACTGAATTGCAATAAAACATAATTACTCAATCAAATTGTTTAAATTAAAAATATGTATTGAAGATAATTCTCTCTCTCTCTCTCTCTCTCTGAGACATTTTATCAAACAGTTGATCAACATTCAGATTCTCAGCATTCAACCCAACCCCAGACAAATCATCAGGATCCTTAGCAGCTAGTAATTTCTTCACCAACGAATTTGTCACATAATCTCTCTATTTTAGTTTCTTTCTTTCAGAAACTTCAATATTTCAGCTTTCGAGTACGTACTCGTTTTCTGCAAAAGAAAAAAATGAAAAAAAATGAAGAAACAGAAGATGCAAGAACTAATAAATAGAGAGTTATAACACAAATTAAGTTAAGTTGAAAGACTCGGGATTATTATGTATTACCTTGTGGGAAGTGGCATCTCTAAACTGATCATCGTCCGACAATAAGGATGCGACGATGGCTTTAAGCAAACACCTACCTTCTGATTTAGATTGAATTTTGTAATGTCACCTAAGTGTACTCTTTCTTTCTCTGCACAAAGTTAATTCAAAAGAATTGGGATTATATTATTGGTCCTTGTAATTGCATATTTTCGCATTATCAAACGAAACACCAACTCGTGTCTTAAAATCCTACTTAAGAGATCATTACAATTGGCATACATTTATTTGTAAAGAAAATGAGACTCAAACAAACAGAAATGCATGGAGACAGTATTCGACACTCGTTAGCAGAACAAAACAGAGTGGATTACAATAGTTTGAACTGACACTATGAGACGAATGGCAATGAAGTTAGCATTTTTATCTCACTCTAAAGCATCTCAAAAGTTAAAACAGAACATGCCACTTTATAGACAAGAATAGATGAAAATTCACGTAATCAAATACAACACGTTCACGACATTTCATCCCATCCTTGAAACAGTGAGGAATCAAATAATTTATCACATATTTGAACAAATATGAATGTTCTTCTCACATAAACATAGATAGAGCAGATAAAGTAATAATTGAAAACAACAAATGGAGGAGTTGTCCTACGAAATCGAAAAAAGACCACAAACCTAGTTTGCTTAACCTGTCAAAACCTCTTTGAAAACCCCAAATCCGGAGCTCCGGTTTCCAGCTAAATCACAAGACAAAGTCAAGCAGATGACAAAAACCAAAAAAATGTCAAATCAAAATCAAGTACCTAAATTGTGTTCTTGATCTTTGCAAAGAAGCCTTTCAAGTTTCTGCTCTTTTAGGTCATCTGATTTGCAATCGAAATACCATACTTGCATTTTTCATAATTTTGCAATTAGTATGGAATGCTTCTGATTTATTTCCACTATTTAAAACTAATGGTGGGGGCTTACTTTTCTTCCCTTGTTTGAATTGAAATTCCAAAATTTATCATCTGATAAACAGTAAATTGGGGTAAATTGTCCACTACAAAATGAAGAACAACAAATTACCTTATTTTTGTTTTTCGAAGATGTTGAGCGATCTTCCGCAAGGCATGTTTGAATCGAACGAAGAACATCCATCGACAATTGAAGACAACAAAACATCTGCTCAAGATTGGCTATGGCGGATCGATCAAGAGAGAGAGAGAGGAGAGAGATGGGGGAAGGGGCCATCGGATTTTATGATTTAGGGATTTGGGGGAAATTTTTTGTTTTAAAAAAACACATTTGTCCCTCTGTGTTTAGGGGTGAAAGTCGGATGAATCGGATCGAAATTAACCTTTTCGGAAAATTTTTAAAAAAATTCGGTAGTACAATATCAATTCCAATTCCAATTCCAATTCCAAAATTTTTGGAATCTAACAATTCATTCCAATTCCAAAAGGCCTGGAATTTTCGGAATTTCGGAAAAAATCGGAAATCACATAAGATTTAAAAATATCAAAACTTAGGCAAAATTTTCTAAAATGTTCATATTTTTTAAAAAATAAGAACATCCACGTCGATAAAAGTAAAACTAATAACTGCTAAATTTCACTTCAAAAAAATAAATAAAAATAAATACGACATAATATCCAATAAAACTTATAACAATAATTCATTATGTCAAAATCCTAAAACAAAAAGTATAGGTGTATTTTCTGAAAATAAGTATTATATAATATATATTATTTATACGTGTATTTTTCGGAAAAAATCGAAATTTTTCGGAATTAATTTTGCAATTAAATCGGAAATTCCAAATTTATTTTATATAATTCCAATTCCAATCCAAAAAGATCGGAAAAATTCGAAAATCGGATCGGAAATCTGAAATTCCAAATTTATTTTATATAATTCCAATTCCAATCTCAATCCAAAAAAATCGAAAAAATTCGACCATCGGAATTTCGGAAGTCGGAATGAAAAAAGTTGTTCCAAAATCGCAACTTTTCGGATCGGAACCGGCGGAAATTGGAATTTCCGTTCCAACTTGCACTTAGGGGTGTGCACGGCTCGGTTCGGTTCGGTTTTTGGCTAAAACCGAACATGAACCGAATATATTGGTTTTTGTAAAATCAAAAACCGTGTATGTCGTTTTTTATCGGTTCGGTTTCTTTCGGTTTCGGTTTCGGTTTTTTTCGGTTCGGTTTCGGTTATTTTTCGGTTCAAGAGTAACTATATATTCAAGTTGTACAAACAAAAGAATACAATTACAATTACTTTCACAACTTACTAATGCAATGAAAATAAAAAATCTTTAATTCCATAGGAGTTAACGTAATTTAGATGATGTATTATGCTTCATTTTTTTTCCTACTTTCATCTACCACATTATTAAAACCATGAACTCAAGTAAATTATTAATTACTAAATCAATAAAATACAATGTCCCAATTTATGAACAAATGCTTAGAATGAGACAAGTAATTGAAAGATAGAAAATAAAAATTAGGGTAAAATAATACATAATATATATAAAATAAAGTCATTTTATAGTTTCGGTTCGGTTTTTCGGTTCGGTTTTTTACCTTTCCACCATACCGAACCGAATAATTCGGTATTTCAAAAATAAAAAACCGTACATGCGGTTTGCTATTCGGTACGGTTTGAAACGGCTCGGTTTTTCGGTTCGGTTTTTCGGTTTTTTTGTTTTTTTGCTCACCCCTAACTTGCACCCCTACTCATGCTACAATAATATGACACTTTTGGTCATTTACGTCAATTTACCCTTAGCCCGTCAGTTACGGTAGTGATGGGCACATGTTTGATTCCGTTAGTTTTAACAGAAAATTGACAAAAATGACTAAAAGTGTTGAATTTCTGAAACACGAGGGACCAAATTTGATTTTGTGAATATGGAGGACCAAATGCAAAATCGATTCAAACTTAAGGGACTTAAGGGATCAAAACTGTATTTTTCCCGAAATTGATTATTACCCTTTATTTGCCGTACGTATGTACACCCTTTATTTTTATAAACTTGTTAGAGCGAGTATATATGAAATACCATAACCGTGTGGAATCATTTGAGCGAGGGGTTTCAAATTCATAATACAAATCCATTGATGTTGTTTGGATTGAGCCATTTGACACGGGATTTCAAATCCATATAACATCAGTGGTTATATGTGGCTTTTTCTCGTGCTTCGTAAGTACGATGAATCATGGAGTCATCTCAGAATGCTACCTTCTTTAGCACAGTTTTTCCTTCTAAGATTTTGGTGACCAGAACTACTGCAAATTTTGAAAATATAATTATTGGGTTAAGTGCATTTTGCCCCCTGATCTTCTGACATTTTTGCACTTTTACCCCCTGAACGGAAAAAAGTTGAACGAGCGTACCTGAACTTACTAAATTGCTGCACCAACAACTAAAAAGTCAACTTTTTAGCCCACACCGCAGTAGATTCGGAACACCATTTTGCTTCAATCAGTTCAAGTGTCGGAATTTCTCCAATTCCATCTGAAATCTCCTTTAGATACCGACACTGACGAAGCAGCAGTCGCTTGAGCTTGGGGAAGTGATCACTTTCACTTACCCAATACTTGCGATTTGACAAATCAATCACCAAATGCTCAAGCTCGAGAAATTGCCCTTCACTTGTTTCCCATGTCTCGCCGAAGAATCCGTTCCATCTAATTTTAAGCACTTGAAGATTAGGGAGCGAACCAATAATCGTCATAACAGGTATAACTTTGCTCCCCTACGATAAATACGAAACAGTTATTTTCAATCTCTCGAGTTGCTTCAAATGTACGAGATTTTCAAGATGATACTCCTTTTCTCCCCTGTAGTCAATCGCCAAAGCTTTAACATTTGGCATCATTTTGAGGATGGATTTAGTGCATGTAAGTTGGAGCTTTACCTTGCATGAAGCTTATAATGGTACGGGTGGTTGAGCGACGAACATTTGATAGGCAATTTAGATCACCGTGGTTGATAAATATACGCCGCTGGTTTTCTATGCGAACTTGTCCATCCATGACATGTATAAGAAACTTTTCTTCTGAGGATTTTCTTATGCACGTACAATTCCCGCATGAGATCGTGTACTCTGCAACTTGTGATTTTCCCATCAGACTTCCTCTTTGAGACCGTAACAAGACTTCGTTTCACAAGACTCCTCCAAATATTCTTCTTCTGCAGCCTCTTCTAAGCTTCTATACACACTAGATGGTTTGACAAACCCTTCAGCTACCCATACCTTGATGAGTTTCGAGACATTGATATCGTGATCTTCGGAAAAAGCTCCCTTGTATAAGAAACACGGCCTCAAATGATGTGGCAAATGGACGTTGTAGCTCAAAGATAGTCTCTCTTCAAACATCCCATCTTCATTTCTTTGGCGGTAGCTGATTTTACGTTTTCTGCAATCTTCTTCCATGAGGCTTGAGTCTTACACACCTTGGATACGAGTACTCCTGCAATCACCACAATTGCAAGGGGTAGTCCGATAATTTCCAATTCCAGAGGAAAATCTTTTTCTTTAAACACTTTCTTCCGAAGCAAATTCCAGCTTCAATCCTCACCCAGGAGATCCATCTTATAAAGATGGCTAGAAGAGTCGGGATAAGAAGCCACATCCCGACTTCCATTGTTGTCATCGGGAAATATCCTCCTTACATC